GAGTGGATTCTGAACTCTTAACCAATCAGGAGAGACTCAGGCAGTGAACAGCCATATGGATATGCCCTCCTACACTTTGCTTTGGATACCTCCTCACTTTTGACTCTCAGCCTCTCATCATTTTTCTCTTCATAATTTAAAAAAAATAATTTTACATCCTCTTCTAAAATTCTAAGCCTGATATCTGTGTTTCATCTACATCTTATGTTATATTTTGAGTGTTTCTCAAGCTTATTAACCACATAGAAAAATCTAGAGCACTTTTACAAAAAAGCTCATGACTGGGCATTGATATCAGATATTCATATTTAATTGCTTTGAAGACAGGGTTAAGAATTACTGGTATATTGCTCAAATATAAATCATGGAATTGAATAAAATATTTCCAATCCCTTTATGTAAATGGTGCTCACCGTCAAAGATTACATTTTCTCATGTGAAGAATAGTGTGTGTGTGATTTTGCTTTATTTAATACATAGTATGTCCTCATACCTTGTGTAATCAGCTATTTTGTTGCTTTGTTTTTTTCTGGAGGTTTCTATAAATATTGTTCCAGTTTTCTAAGTCCTTCCATAGGAAAAAATATTTTGATTTGGTATTTCCTTTACAAATGCAAAGGCACTGTTCATTTGTCTAGGTTTGCTAATGGGAACTCTAACCTTGCTCTTTTTTTTATTTTATTTTATTTTATTTTATTTTATTTTATTTTATTTTATTATTTATTTTATTTATTTTCTAACCTTGCTCTAATATAGGTGATATATTCTATGAAATTTTTAGAGGCATCCAAGATTGTTAAGACATTTAACATCATTGGTGTTTCAGTTTCACAATATTTGACAGTGCGTAGTATTTTTCTTAAAAAAGGGTTTACCTTGTACTTGATAGTACTTTTTAAGTCTAGTGACTATTACAGTGTGAAAACCACTGTGGAATTATCCTTTTCCTAGTCCTCATTTCCATTTTCTCTCTTCCCTCTTTTTAATATTTTTGTTGGTAATATGTGGCTGATGTGGAAGGTCTGAAGAGTTTGACTTATAGATCCATTTATGTACTTAAAGTGAAAGCTCCTTTCACACACCCACATCTCAGTCAATCCCTCACTTCTTGGTACCTGGGAGTCCTAAGTTCAGGAGCTTTCCAGACACTTCAAGTTATCTGCACTGTTATCTCCTCATGTATACTATAGACATTCATCCTGTCAATCACCACTATTCCATAAGCTTTCTGGGATAATTATACATGTTGAAAAATCTAGTTGACTAAAGATCTCTCTACCATTTTGATCCTTCCTCTCTCCCTCCTTTCCCTCCTTCATTGTTTTTCTTTTCCTCCTCTGTCCTTCTACTCTTATCCCTCTTTTTCCTCTTACTCTTCTTCTTTTTGTTTATTCTCCATTAGTGGCATGGTGGCAGAATTTTGAGAGTGAAAAGAAACAAATCCAGATGACTTTTTATCTTTGAATATAGCTAATCTATCCTAAAAAACCTTCACCATGGAATTAATTATTTCTATACTATTAATACTATTATACAAAGATAGTAATTATGGACTTACAGTTTTAGAGACATTGTACCAGGCAGAAAGTGTTGGACTTTTTTGATATTGGGCAATGTCATAAACTAATGTAATGATTGACCATAAACTGATGGATTCCCTTAGATAGATTTCTTGTATTCTCTTTTTGTTAATTTATTTTTTTTCCTTTTCTTCATTGCTTAAACTTTCCACATTACTATTTCTTCCTTGCTATTGTTTTTACTCAACTACATTTACATTGTTTTCCTACTTATTTTACAAATCCTACAAATAGGATTTTGAATTCCTTTTTTGAAAGAGGCATATCATTTTCATGTTCAAATGCATTTCCATGTTCAAGATGACTATGATATTTAATGTGACAGAAATATTAATGTGGTAAAACAGAAAGATCATTGAATATGGAATGAGAAATCCTGGATATTAGTGTTTAATCTGCCACATATATAGTCCTATGAATTTGATAAGTTATTAAAAATCTCTGAAAATCATATTAGTGATTTATGAAATAGAGCTTAGAACAACACATCCTTATTGGCTATTCTAGTAAAGACTTTTAGAAACCATAAAAATGCATCAAATGTACAACATTAATTAAAACTTGAAATAATTTTATGTGAACATCTCGCTTTTACTAAAAAGATGAGCTTTCTATCTGGAGCTATAATTCATAAGAAACAGTCATTAAAGCCTAAAATAATGCTTTTGACAAATTTGTCTCTTGGTTCAAATCTATTATTTAAATTTGAAAGTGCTTCCTATAAGAGAGCTTGAGTAATTTAGATGATTTTTCTTTCATACACTGAGACAGGTCTGTAAATTTTTCTATTGATCTTCAGGAGTTATGTATTCTATAAGCTATTAGATCAGACAATGAATAAATATAAATCTTCATAGTATTTTAAAGAGAAACATACAAAACCTCTTTTATATGTTTTCTACTTTAGCTGTGATTATTTACTTGATTAATTAGGTTCTCAGTATATGGACTTACTTTATTTATATGCTCCATTTTTGAAATAATAACTGCAGTGGATTTTTTTCTTTTATGCAGAACAAATCATGTGTATAAAACAGTGGTGCAGAGAGGAAGAGCAACAATATTTCAGCTCAATGGTTTTCAATTAATCAGCCCGGGAGGAGGTGATATGAATTGGAAATTCATAGGTTCAAAGAGTATCTGATGAGTTTTGACAGAAGGCCTATTATCTACTAAATATTTTTAACATCTAACTCAGATACCATGAAAGCAATTACTTATCATCTAAATCAAATATCATGGACTTTATTAACAATAAGCACAGTGAATTTTTATAACACTTTAACATTTCATATTTTTACTATATAATTTATTGTACAGGTGACAACATATCTTCAAGATATTATTGATATTAAACTCAAAAGTCCACTAATATCATTGGTCCAACAATAATTTTATTGCTGACCCACGTTTTATTAGATTCGATGTTATCTCCTACTACCCGTCACCTACTTTTTTTAAAAAGATTTATTTATTTATTTATTTATTTATTTATTTATTTATTTATTTATTTATGATAGACAGAGAGAGAGAGAGAGAGAGAGAGAGAGGCAGAGACACAGGAGGAGGGAGAAGCAGTCTCCATGCTGGGAGCCCGATGTGGGACTCGATCCCAGGACTCCAGGATCGTGCCCTGGGTGAAAGGCAGGTGCTAAACCACTGAGCCACCCAAGGACCCCCCCATCACCTACATTTTTAATTGTACTTTTGTCAGCTAGCTAAGGGAACTCAGATATTTCCTAGAGATTAATGCACCAAACCAAAAGACAGAATAACTCTGTATAGGTCACACATGGTAAAAACTCTCTCAAGTATCTTAAAACAAAATTTTCAAAAGCATATGGATTCTGAAGCCAAATATGGGGTTTACGTATTTTTTTACTTGCCAAGTAAATAACAAATCGTGATGAATAACTAAAAATGGCAATAAATGTATAAAGATGCATTTCTGTTCCCGAGGAACTGTTCAATAATAGACATGTAAGTGATTTATGATTACTCTTTTTCTTTATTTTTTAAAAGAAACATGTATGTGCATATACTTCCAGATAATTTTATTGCTCCTGGAAGGATTGATATACCATGTCAGTCCAAAATGACATGGGATTCAGTTAAAGTATTCCTAGTTGGAGAGAGCCTCAGTCTCATTGTCCAAAGAAGAGGAGAGTAGAAGTTTGACTCTGTATCTATGTGTTCCAGAAAATACTGTATTACCTTTTTCCTTCTGAGGGTTTCAGATATAGATGAAAAACAGTAGCAGTATTTTAACATTTTATGAATTAACTGTCTATAGCTGTGATTCTTACCACTCATCATCAATTTTACCCAACTGTTTCATTTGTAATTCCACCAACTGCAATCAAATTATTCTAAGTCCAAGCCAACACTTATGTCATAATGATTTATAACAGGAAATGCTCAGAAACTCAGAAATTATCCTGATCCTTTAAGAAAAGATGGCAGAAAGAGCTTTTGGAGTGAAAGTTCCAAAGTTTGATTCCAGTTTGGTGACAATTGTATGTTTTATTTTCCTAAAAGGGGAGGATATAATAAAACAATTACAAAGATTCTTACAATAATCTATGTAACACACTTTGTATAGTGTCCAGCACATAGAATATGCCCAATAAACAATTGTTTCCATTTCATAATTTCCTCTCTTTAAAACCCATAAAAAGCTTCTACTATATCTGATCAATATGCATGAAAATGATCACACAACACTGTGATATAGTCCCAAAATCTCAGCAATCAGGTAAAAGGAAAATTACATGAGATAACTGCTTAATGTAGGCAAAGATTCCATGTAAAAATTAAATATCAATCAGAGTTTTGAAATGAGGAACAGATTTTTCAGAACAAATGAACAGTGACCAAATACTTTGTAGTGTATCCTCCTAGCATGATGAGGACTTACGTTGTACAAATACATACTTTCAATCTACTTGCCTTTTGGCATTTAAACATTTGGAAAATTCTAAAAGAAATGTAAGAGGGAAAATGGAAAATAACCTTTTGAAGAATAGGAAAGACATACATATTTAGTTTTCATTGACTTTCTAGTAGAAGAACTGGGTATTGGAAGCATTCAGCTTTAATAGAACGATTCAGCTTTATATATATATATATATATATATATATATATATACATATACATATATATAACACTTTATATATATAAAAATTATAATATACATATATTATGCATACACTATATATATATACACATATATTAGACATACACTAATTTAGAATATCAGGAAGTCATGATTACAATCCAAAATGATATCAGTTTTCATATGTCCTTTAAATTATATAATTAGTATTTAATCATTATCAAATATGAATTACGCCATGCTATATGTAACTTTGCTAGCCATAGTGCACTGGAGATCCATAGCACAAGACAATTTTGGCCTACCTTGGAGTATTGAGAAATGAACCTTCCAAAGATATCCTTTAGAGTAAAAACTGTGAGAGCTGGAAACATAGCTGTAGACAGTTTGCTGTGTCCAAGGATCTCACAGACTGATTGAGAGCAATGTTACTTTTCTCTCTGTGCTACCTGAAACAATTTATTTTTCTGTTATAATTTAATCTGTAGTCTAATGATCATTGTACTATTCTTGGTTATTTTTTTATGAGAGCCCTGAAAGGACAAATTTTAAATATAAACTCACCTAATGTAGCTGGCAGCAGGAATGTTCCACTTATGGCAATTAGATGTGTTCAAAGAAGATTATCCGACTTTCCAAGGAGATATTAGACATTCAACTTATTTCTTGGACTCATCTGACTTCACTTTAAAGACCTGGAAATACTTGATGATTCCTCATTATTTTCAAAGAGATAAACTATGGTCCAGTTTAGATATCTACACTAATTTATTCTTTAAAAAAATTTACTGGAAATATAAGACTCAACTATAGTATGAATTAGTTTCTGATTAGATGCCAAGAGAATATTTTTAAGGAGTACAAGAAGAAAATCACAGATGGCTTTGTTAGTTTGGTATATAAAAAGTAATACAAACCTCTTAGAAGTGCAAAATGGTCTTTTAAAGAAAGTGGCAAGAGCAAAATAAAATTAAAGTTTTGTTAAAGTCCCAAGTCATGAGAATTTCCTAGCTCTTAGGTCTATGCCAATCTTCGAGCTTTATATTGCTATTTTTCAGATCAAAATTTCTATTAAGTTAACTTATATTTCTTTTTTTTTCTTTTATTGTAGGGTGTTAAATTACAACATGGAATTAAAACATATGGGACTCACATAAAAGTCACGGTACTAATTTTAGTATAAGGTATGGGAGTTAGCCTTGTACTTTAATTAGGTAGGAGTGATTTTTTTTTACCATTTATTTTCTAAGAGAGGAAAGATGGTAAAGTTTAAGTCTGAAACTGTACAGATTACAAGATATTACCCAATACACACAAACCTCTAGATTAATGAAAAGATCTTTTACTCAAAAAGAAGCTTAAATCAATTCCCCAGACCCAAATTCAAATCTCCTGCCATGGCATGATGAGGACCAAATGACCCCTGCATGCATAGAGGATTTGCATCAGGAGAGAGGTACTCTGGAATTACAAAACTCTGAATTCACCTAGAAGCTGCTAGTACACTTGTCCATCCCTCTGAAAGGAGGGTTGGAATCGTGTGTGTGTGTGTGTGTGCGTGTGTGTTTTCCTCTATAATGTGAACAAATCTTCCCTTGGGGGAAAGAAGAAGTTCTCTACCTTGTAATGTGAGCAATTGGCACCAAGTGAGATAAGAAAGGTACCTCTAAACTTTATTACCATTAGAATAGGAGCAAATGGCTCTGGGGAAATTCACTATCTCTAACTTCCAAGGTGTGGGGCCATTTAATCATCTGTTCCGTGCCAGTGCTCTTTGGTCAAAAAGCCCTGAACATGCAGAAATAAAATTAGTCATGGAACATCTTCTCTTGACAAAATATTTTGTCAAGAGGACATATTAGGGCAATGAATTAATTATTCTACTGACATTACATTTTCAATGATAATTTTCAACTTAATAAATTTATATTAATATTTCAGAAACATGAAATCTATAATTAAAATGAAGTAAATGTCAACAATATGCTGGAAGTGTTTGTATCCCATATGACTAGAAATGAATAAATGTTCTAATTTACAACTTTTTCATGCACCACATATATATATATATATATATATATATATATATATATATATACACATATACATATGAAAAATAGGCAAAGGATACAAAGATGAATTTATTTCAGAATAACAAATGCAAATATCACTTAAAAATGAGACATCCATAAACTTACTAGTAGACTGAAAATGCAATGTAAACACTTTTCACCCATAAAATACACTTAACAGAAATGTAAACTATTGACAAAAGTGCTAATTATTTTTTTAAAGATTTTATTTATTTATCCACGAGACACACACACACACACAGAGACAGAGAGAGAGAGAGAGAGAAAGAGGCAGAGACATAGGCAGAGGGAGAAGCAGGCTCCATGCAGAAGCCTGACGTGGGACTCGATCCCAGGTCTCCAGGATCATGCCCTGGCCAAAGGCAGTCGCCAAACCGCTGAGCCACCGGGCTGCCTTAGTGCTAATTAAAATATAATTAAAAAGACATTTTTATACATTTCTGTGAGGAATGGGATATATTTCAAATTTTTGGGACTATATCAACTTTTATCTATTAAACTTTGAAGAAAATGGTCCACAAAAACTTATGTTTCTTGTTCTACTCTTTAGAATTGTTCAGATTCATTGACAAGGCCTACATGTCCCTGTCCCCTTGCAAGTAGAAGTGTTTATATGACTGAGGTCTAGGTATGGAAGGACGTATACTTCAAGCCTAGATTACAATATCTTACTTTAGTGATCATCCATGCCCTTTCACCTGCTGGTCGGTTTGCTATCGAAGATATTGCATGAAAATTTTGGAAGACATAGAGAAGACATCAGAAAATTAGTCATCCTGGGTCCCCTACATGTAGTGGAGGCTGCCCTCTGTTTTGTTTTGCTCACCAAGTATCATTACATGAGTGATACTAACTCATTAACTGTAATTGGGTTAAGCCACTAATATGTTATTGCTCACTTATAGCAACTAGCTTTACCCTGCCTAATAAGATACTAAAAATCAGAGAAAGGAAAAAAAGCAAAATTTTATGACCATATGTCAAAGAGGATATGATAATCAGTATTGCAGGTAATGGCAAAACTCTAGACAGAAGATTATACCCTCCAATAAATTATATAATATCAGTACCCTATAATATGTTATTAAACATAATGAGAAAGTAGAAATGCCATATTTTTAATTAAAAAGAAAATGTATGTTCATGAATGCTTGTATATGTTTATTTGAACAAAGCTGAGTTATAAATAATAACTACTTCAGGGTATAGGAAAGGGGATAATTGACTTCATACACTGCACATTAAAAATCTATAAGAAAAAGCAACCTTCCAATGCTTCATCGGTGTGTATATTCTTTCATTGTTTTATGAATTTTTATGGGACTTTAATTCTCTGCAGCAGATTCTTTCTATGTATTTAGTCTTGGAAGAGATAGGTTGAACAAAACAGGTAATATAAGCATGTATTGTTTCTATTCATGCATACACTGGCTTTAAATAATTTTGTTAGGATTGCTTTTTGGCAGAATTACAAATTTGCTGATTAAATATTGTTTAAATCCTAATGAAATCTTAATAGGACATCATTGTAAGATCAGAGGCCAAAGTATATAGTTTAAATTTTCATAGGTGAAGAAAACATTTGGACATGGTGGTTTTTACTTGCTTAAACAAAGATAATCAAACTGTAATACCTTCTATTCATTGCATGTGCCAGTAAAATTGCAGTTTTGTAGTTAGCTGAAAATAATATATACAATAAGCTATGTTATGAATAGAATTCTAAATTAATACTTTTATTTTTGCCTTGTAGTGCTGAGAAGTACATTTCTTTCCATGAAATAAGTCAGCCATTTAAAAATAGGGCAATTTTTAACTGGTTTTACAATATACATTTGTACATTCTAGCAGATAGCAAAGTGATGCTTTGAATTAAAAGACATAAATGGTATCTTCCCTCTTCGAATGCAAATTTTGCCTTTTCTTATTATTTGCCTGCATATATCTTTTTCTGATTAGCATATCTACACAAAATAGCAATTTAGGATAGGGTTACTCATTTTTATTGCTGTTAAACCCTTGAAGGTCTTAGGTCGAATCTGGAATTGTGTAACAAACTTTTCCAAGGAAGCACTTCAAAATAAGATTTCAATTGTAGTTTGAGTATTTTATATTCCTAGTCTCTTTCTGTTTTTCTTTTGTCTGTCTTTACTAGTCCTTAGAAATACCTGTTTTCTACAGATGATAGGTTTACTTTACATGGTGGATTAGACTATATCCTTTATAGTTTGAGATATGCAAGATTATATAATTGGCTGAAAGTAGCATCACTCTTGGTATCTCTTCTAATAAAATCACCTCTTAAGCAAAAGTCATTAGTCACAGATAAATACTAAATTAAAAGGCATATGTTTTGCCTGGAAAGGTTAACTTGTCAATAGAAATAAACTGTACATTCTAATCATAAAATATACCTGCACTGAGTTAATACACTTTGAAGAGTTTAAGCAAGTTGTTTTCTTCCCCAGGAAATAGGCCATTACAAAATGAAAAAGATAAATAGCCAAGGTACTAAGATTAAATAAATGAAAATTTGGATAAACACTAAACAAACTTTGCCCCTTCCATATTTCTTTTAACCTCCAAATAATTTTGATATTTTAAAAATATTTTAAACATTTTCGGGGTACCTGGTGGCTCAGTGTTTGACCCTCTGCCTTTGGCTCAGATCATGATCCTGCAGGCCTGGGATCTAGACCCACAGCGGGCTCTCTCCGAGGGGAGCCTGCTTCTCCCTCTGCCTATGTGTCTCTGTGTCTCTCATAAATAAATAAAATCTTTAAAAAATATTTTAATATTAGTTGGCATTTTTAATTTTTATCATGTGCTAGTCACTTGAGAGATTTTTTAGTTTAAAATTTACTAATGTGATCTCAATAAGTTCATTTTTTGTTGGTGGTGGAAATAAATCAAGATTAAACAACTTGCCAGAATATACGTATCTAAAAAAATCTTAAGTCTGAACTTCAACCAAGGTTTGTGTGATTTCAAAGCTAGGATATTGAGACTTCATACTGTCTGCCAGCAGTGGAATGAATAAACTGCTTAGTAGGCATGAGTGACGTTCCTTTGAAAAATAATTTCTAAAACATAATGGTTATTAATACATTATCTCAAAATAGTGTCAATTAAATGATATCTGGTTGGTCTTTCTAAGTATTTTTTCTTTGGGGAATCAATAAGGATAGATACAGCCCAAATCATTTGAAAAAATCAATTTTGAACTGTGTTCCCTTCATTATTGTGCATTTAGATAAATGAAATAAAAATTGTATGTTAGTTTAAGAGGGTTTTTACTTAAATTTTGCAGGAATTTCATTTTATGCATTTTTAATAAATTATTTGCAAGTTTTATTGTAATTAGAATTCTATTGTTACCTTACTGTAATGTAACTGAAGTTGACCTGTGAACAACACGGGTCTGACTTATGCAGATCCCCTTATATGCAACTTTTGGGATAAATACAGTACTGTACTATAACTGTGTTAACTGTGTTCTCTCTTCCTTTTTTTTTGTTTTTTTTTTAATTTTTTTTTGTGTTCTCTCTTCCTAATGATTTTCTTAATAAACCTGTACTCTATCTTACTTTATTGTAAAAATACAATATATAATAACATACCAATCTGTATTAATATTATGCTATTGGTAAATTTCCAGGCAACAGTAGTCTATTTGTAATTAAGTTCTTGAGGAGTCAAAAGTGAGATGAGGGATTTTAGCTGTGTGTGGTCAGTGCCT